TATGGCTGCCAAAGATAATGCTTCCAAAGGAATGAATAACAACACGGGAAATGTTTGTGTCAAAATGTTAACTGAAAAGTTAGTAAGATAAACTCTTACGCAAGTTCCTTGATAAAGACTATGTAAAGTCAAAACAACACCAATTACTAAAAAGAAATCATACACAGTTAAAAAAAACTGAAAAAAGTAAAAAATAACTGGAAAGAAAACATCAAAGTGTTAAGAATACTTTGGGGTGGGATTATAAGTGAATTTTAAATCCTTCCTGCTTTTGGTATTTTTCCCATAACCATTATACTTTTTTATTATCTCACCTCTCAGTGGCATATTAAGTAAGTATCTTACTATTTTTTTATAAGAAAACATTAAGGCTGAGATCTGATATTGCAAAAAGTAGCTTGGGTTTCAAAAATTGGCACATTACTAATTTGAAGTCTGAGAGATATTTTCTCATGGATATAGAAGAGTATCCACTAATGAATAGATTTTTTCAAACTAGCATTTTAAACTAAGAATTCCAGGCATGATTCAAAGAACTTCATCTATATATTCTTATTTAGTGAGCAGGAAGTATTATTAGCTCCTTTAATAGTGAAATTTATGTAACCTGCCAGAATTTGCAAGGCTGAAGTCTCTCTCCAGAAGCTGTGCCGTAACGTGGCCACATGCCTCTCATCGCAGCCCACTGGCTCAGCTCAGAAGTGCTGTGCTGTGCATTTCCTCCTGTCTTATTTCTTCCCACCGTGGTTTTCATAGTGAACATGCCATATTTTGGCTAACTTCACAGCCAAATAGATCTTGATGATTTGTAACTTGCCCTCAGAATATTGTCTGTAGGAGGAAAAAAAAGACCTCTGGATTCATTCAATCATGGGCTTGCCAAAAGTATGCTCATCCCTCCACCTGGAGGTCATTTACACAAAAAGGATCTTCTCAGGCTGGATACTCTTTTCTTAGGGATGATCAGAACTGGTGCCTCACTTCTGGCCACTTCCATGTGAGTCTCGTTCTCCTCCTCCACCCTTGGTATACACCTGGTCCCTGCCAACTCACCTTGGGCTGGCCAAAGGTGCTTTCTTTAGGACCACATGTGGAAAGAGAAGCCATTCCTAGACCTCTTCTGCCCTTTCACAGTGATTGTTAGTGCTAAGTCAGTACTATTTCTGAGTTCTTTTGGTGGGTCAAGATCAGGTAAGGAGAGAAGCCTCGCCACCCCCACCATCTACATTAGGCCTGCCTAAGCTAACATCCTTGAGATATTAAGCATTCTTAGTCCAGGTTATGGCATCATCCAAGAATGAAAAAGTCACAGTAGATCATTGGCTTGGGCCTGGCACTTTCTTTTGGAACTCTATCCTTATTCTAAACAGGGCTACTTAGTTTCCATCTTGGGAATTTTCCCCTCCATTTCCTATACTAGGAGCAGAGAGACCTTCTCTCAGCCCCAGAGGTCCAGAAACCCACTGACCCAGCTCAGGAAACAGAGACTGACAGATGTTGTGTGTAATCCGCTAGGCACCATCACTATCCTAGAGGCCTGCAATTCTCAGGGGATGTTCCTGTGGGTTAATACTTCACATGCTTATGCAGGGTAGAATTGGGTCCCTTGGATGTGAGAGGATGGTAGTCACCTGTGCCCTGTAGAGATGCTATCAGCATCCCGCACTGGTCTGTGCCACCTGATGCCATGTCAGAGAGTTGACTCCATATAAAAGGCAGAAGCTTTCAACAGCACCTCAGTTCACTTGCCTCTTGAGTGATCTGCTCTAGTACCTAAACCAGATAAAATGCATTTCAAGGATCAGGAGGGACTCTTGGTGCTGATATCTTGGGCAGAGAGAAGCTCTGGGTAGAGGACAATATTGAAAAAACACAAGGAGAAAGAAAGATTTGGAGGGTTTCTGCCAGAAGGGGAGGGTGGGAGGTAGGGGGAGGGAAGGAGGTATCAGTGTCTTCAAGCTGGGAGAAATTCCTTTGAAATCATGGAGTTCCTGGGTTGAAAACTTTTTAATATTTCTTATAACTGATTTGGAGAGATTGAGTTTTAAAAATCTGATCCCTATAGAGATGAAACCATGTGAACTCAAAGTTAAATTTTAAGCATAAGGGAGTTATCTTGTGCTAACTTAAAATTTCTGCATTTTCTTTCAGCTTCATTCAGCTTCAGCTGGGATGTTCTGCCCACAAAGCCAGGAAGGAGCACTGCTAGTCCCCTCCTGGCGTTCCCCCAAGTGCCTCACCTCAAAATGCCCACCCAAGTGTACCCCTAAGTGTCCAGCCCCCTGCCACCTCCAGTTTCTTCCTGCTGTGGCCCCAGTCTCTTCCTGCTGTAGCTTAGTGAGTGGCGACTGTTGCAGCTCTGGGGGTAGCAGCTTCTGCCTGAGCCACCACAAGCTCCTCTGATCTCTTAAACGCCAACGCCACCACTCTGACTGCTGTGGCAATGGACACCATTCTGGGGGCTTCAGCTGCTCCCACAGCTCCGGGGGCTCTGGCTGCTGCTGACTTGGGCCATGAGCCATGAGGAACTCTGAGGAGCCGCAGTGGAGGAGCCAAAGTGCTGATGACTGCCCAAGCCTGGGACTTCTCTTCTCCTTGTTCTCCATGAACAAGGCTTCTGAAATGCTTTGAGTTTCCCTCTCCTTCCCGCCCATGTTCATTCCACTGTGAGGTCTAACCTCAGATAGTCACTGGATTGATTCTCCTCTCAGACATAGTTCTTTAGAGGACTTGGTGTTGGAGTTCAGTCATGAAGCCGTTTTCTCTGTAACAATAAAGCTCTTTATTCCTGATGTCACTGCCTCCTGCTTATCTTTTATTCACCTCTCCCACTCCCCACCCCCTCCATCCATCGCCCCTTCCCTTCTTTTAAGTGCAAGTGAACACTTTGAAAATTGCTTTGAGAAGCAGATTTTTGCACTGAAGCTGCTTTGATGTCTGGAAACTAAACTTGAAGGAAAGAACTGTGTCTGAGACCGTTGCCCTGCCATAAGCCTGAGAGTGGGGAGCAGGTTTTCGGGGAGGAGAACGGTGGTGTCCAGGAAGGTCGTGGTGAGAGGACATACTCTGGGGATTTTCCTTCGAGCATGGGTGAGAGTTTTAAAAAGTATCTGATAGTTAACGGGGAATACAATCCCCTAAGGTGCTCATTTTGGGCTGCAATGAATGGACACCCCCTACTTTTGAAATTAAAATCCCAGGCTCTTCTATCAGTTGATTAGAGAGGAGGCCAGATGGGGGTTAGTTTCTGGGGGTGTGAGTCTGCGATGTAAGGATGAAATGTCTGAGCCCATTTCCCCTGGATCCAGAAAGTCTGAGTTGGGTCTGAGCAGAGAACCCAGGAGGACACCCCCGTCCACGCGGTTGAGGCGTGACTGTGTGGTAGGGTGGAAGGTGGGAGCAAGGGCACTTTGGTGACTGTATTGGGTTTCCTATTTCCTTTAGGAATAGGCTGACTCCTTCAGGAGATACTCAGAATGCTTGCAATAGAAATGATACTTTTGAATCAGCCTTTTATAAACAAGAACAACTAGCCCTTTCTTTGATAAAAGTTAACCATAATAGGTGAAGTAGGTTAGTATATGAGGTCATAACAAGTCCCTTAATGAGTATGTATTTGCCCAAATCATTTCCCAGAGGAGATCCCGTCTCTATCTTGTTACTTCATGAGTTCCTTCTCTTCTAATACTGACCTCACCTTTTGGAACATCTCACCTGGACTCACCAACAGGTGATGCTAGGTACGTGCAGCCTGTTAATCAGGCTCTAAAGCTGTGTTAAATGAAACATGTCTTTTGTGATTTACCTTTCCTTGTCTGTTCCCTCATGCCACTCCCAGGTCACTCACCCCCATATCTATGTCTCATCATCAACTCTTGAATTCTTAGTCTCAGATTTTTTTTCAATCTCACATTCATGGTTGTGAGCAGTTGCATTGATTAAGAAGCAGTTCTGAAGCCACTGATCTGCAAATCTTTCCTAATTCTTCAAAATTAGTTATTCTAAAACACCACATTTCATGGACATTTTGGACCTTGGGAAAGACTCTTCCCTCCCCCCTCTCCCTCCCTCCCTCCCTCCTTCCCTCCCTTCCTCCCTTCCTTCCTTCCTTCCTTCCTTCCTTCCTTCCTTCCTTCCTTCCTTCCTTCCTTCCTTCCTTCCTTCCTTCCTTCCTTCCTTCCTTCCTTCCTTCCCCTTTCCATTGGACAATGGCCCCGGGAGCACTTATCATCAAAGGGAGTTTGCAGATGGGGTAAGGAATAGAGTCCCCTGCTGGCTGACTTGGCGTTACAACGGGATAAGCATCCTGCACACATTTTTCTCTTAGGCCCACCAGGGCTATTGGGAATATGGTAACATGACTATATTCAGAGAATTTCTGGCCTTAATGAACCCATGACTGCCTGAGTTTTTCTTCTTGTTTCCAGTGACAGAGAAATCACCACTGAGATTCCCATAGGCACATCCCCACAATTGTCTTCACTCAGTCCAATCTGGAAGCATCTGGATGAAGCCCAGCAGGCTTTTCATATAGCTTGTAGTCAGACTTGAGGAGCCAAGGACCAAGAACCAGAGAGACACAAACCAAGATAACAAGTGAATGAGCTGCCTGATAGAGGTGACTGCACAGGGATGAAGTGTGAGCAGGGGAATGGAACATGTGCGTGGTGTGCACATGTGCAGTGGAGAGTAGGTCCTAAGAAAGGGCTCCAGACTTCTCCTCACTTGAGCCCCCATTCTTTGTCTTCACCCAAACAGCCCTCCCAGCTATGAATGGTGTCCTATTTGGAAAATAAACATGCCATAGCAATCCTCACACTTCTAGGCAGTGACTTGAGCAGCCACGTGTACCACCTACAGTGACAAATGTCTCTGGGATGTGAGTGTCAGCTGAGCATGCCTATTGGGAAATGGGCCCCTCCCAAGAGCCAGCAACTAAGCCATCACTTGAACAACCTTATAAAAGGTTCTCTGGCTAGACACTGCTCAGTCCACAACCTTGCAGGGGACGCATCCCAGTTGGAGAACTGAGTGTCATCCAGCGGAGCCAAGGTCTGGTAAGTCTTTAAACAGGGCCAGGAAGAAGGTTGAGAAAAGCTGAAGGCAGAACACAGCTGGCAGGTAGATGTGGAAGGAAAGCCCTGGAAAGTGCTGTAAGCTTCAAGTGAGCCAACCTCTCATGGTACCAGTGGAGACAAGGAGGCCAGACTGGGGCCGGGGGAGGTGTGTGTATGTGATATTTCAAGGTTGCCAACCTCTCATGGTACCAGTGGAGACAAGGAGGCCAGACTGGGGCTGGGGGAGGTGTGTGTATGTGATATTTCAAGGTTCCATGGCAAATCTTTAGCAGAAATGTGACTTCAGCTCAGGTCTTTGGTTCCTTGGCCCTGGATGCATTTTTAACATCAGCACCACTCTTGTTTTCCTGTGGTTGTGGGGAATGAGTGGCATGGGGGCAGGAAAAATATGCCTCTGGCCTTTGTGGATTCTTCAGACCTGCATTAAGGATGCAGGTCTGATTTGGCTATTTTCTAATTGATGGGGTGTTTATACAATGCTAATAACTAACTACACGAACATCACTTGAAGGTCTCTGGCCACAGTGAGAGGGGGGAAGTGAAAACAGTCAGAAGAAGATTTTGGAATGGGTCGTGCGGATAAATTGCCTTGATATCCTTTTTATTTTCCACCGTGGACAAACTTGGGTGGTCCTTATCTGATCCCAGAAAACAGAAAACGATCCAGTCTTTGCACAGACTGTTTCCTGCTCTGTGTACGTTTAACGCACTGAACACTTACTCGGGGTTTGTTCCTTTGCTCTTACTCTTTTCTTCTTTATACCAAAGTCAAATCTCAAAGACTCGGGTTCTGTTGGAAATAAAAAAGTCTGCTCCCTTGTGAAACGCTGCTTTTCTTGCAGGTTCACTGTCACAGCTCCGCGATGTCCTCCCAGCAGAGCGCGGTTTCCGCCAAAGGCTTTTCCAAGGGGTCTTCCCAGGGCCCCGCCCCATGCCCCGCCCCCACACCCTCCGTGACCCCCGCCGCCTCGTCCTCCTGCTGCGGTGGCTGCGGTGACACCGGCTGCTGCGGTGGCTGTGGAGACTGCGGAGACTGCGGGTGCTGCGGCTCCACCTCAACCGGCTGCTGCTGCTTTCCCAGGATGCGCCGCAGGCAGCGGAGGAGCGGGTGTGGGTGCTGCGGAGGTGGCAGCCGCAGGTCGCAGTGCTCCGGTAACACCCAAAGCCCTGGCTGCTGCGGCAGCTGCTGAGGCCACTCCCTGAAGAGCTCTGATAGAGCCACCAGCCACCCAGGGAGTGTGCTGCTCCCACCCGTCCGCCTCCCATCACTACGCTCCTGTTCCAGTCCGTGCCTCTGAGTTTGCACACCCTCTCTCATCAAGCTAACTGCACTTAGATGTCCAGAAATCCACCCCGTTCTCAGCCCCACAAAACTCCCGGACCCCATGTGATTTTCCTCCCTAGGAACCTGAGAGCCATGGTGGACTCTACGGTCTGCATGGAGGCTGCACTCTACTGTTTGTCTAGGCTTGCACACAGTAGGTGCTCAATAACTGCCTATTGATTTGATTGTCTTAAAGACGTCATAATAAAATTACCTCCTGAGAACACAACTATTTCTAGATGTTCTTTCATTTGTGTATTTGTCGTCGGGTTCTGTTAACCCATCCACTATTTTCAGCCCTGGCTTGGCATATTTGTAAAAGGAGAAAACTAAAATGCACGCCTGAACAAGAGTGGATCTCTGGTTCTTCATTATGATAAGAGAAATCACATATGGAGTCAGGCAGTGGTCTAAGAACCCGATGTGCTTAGACCACTATGCATCACCTCATTTAATCCTCACAATGACTCAGTGAGGTAGGTGCTCATACTTCCATTTTATAGAAGAGAAACTGGGGCTGTGTAACATGCTCAAAGTCACTCAGGTGCTCTGTAATGGAGAATACTGATGCTGATCCTGAGTTCATGCTCCTCACTGCTCTGCTTGGTTCTCTGGAAAAAAACCTTCCAGAGCCTTACACACCTTCCTGTCCACCAGGCCCAGGTGGCAGCTGTGTGGCAAAGGTTCGGCTCTGCAACAATTGGCTTTTTTTTTTTTTCCTACAGAGGATCACTTGCTGAGTAAGGAAACTTTTCCAAGTTGATCTTTCCAGGAGGCTGGGAGGCGCCCTCTCCAGGTCTCATCCTGGCAATTGAGGCCCAACCAGGAGCCATGGGCTTCCAGGGCTTTCCAGGGTGCAATGTGCTATGCTCAGAAACATGGGAATGTCATTCTCTAGAGGTGGTGGTTGTGATGGTGGTGGGGGGTCCATCCTGAGTGGGTTGGAAACCCAGACCTATGGTCATAAATCAGGAAACAGGGAGAACCATGTCCTCTGCAGTGATGCCTGCTCACTCACAAGGGAAGAAAGAGACAATAGTAACTGTGGCAGTGATAGTAACAACAGCTGCTACTTACTGAGCACTTACTTTGTTCCAGGCGCAAGGTCAAGCACTTTACATATATTATCTCATTCAATCCTCACAATAATCTCAAAATAGAGATGAATTTTCTTATTTTCCATATGTGAGGAATTGGGTTCTGAGAGTTTCAGAGAGTTGGCCGAAGTCTCATAGTTAGTGTATGTCTGAGGCCTTCACGTGGTCAGCGAGGAGATAAGATTCAAATTGGGGTCCGGTTCCCAACTCCATGTTTTCAGACTCAGAGTGTTGTGGTCTGCTGCTTAGGAATCACTGCCACCCAGGGAAGGGACGCTCAGGACTCTGTAGACACACCAGGCTCACAGAAAATTGAAGTGTGGCTTCTTTGCCTACTGTTACATCAGTGACCCAGTGACTGGCACCTTCTGTCATGACATCCACCCAACAAAAGGTATTTGCTCAGGGGCGAAGTCCGAAAAGCTCCATTGATTCATCCAGGGTATTTAAAGCTGAGGCAAAATGACCCCTGTCAGGGATGCTCTGAAGAGTTGCCCTGCTCTGGGTGGGAGGGGCCCTCACCTCCATCTCTGAGGTTCTCTGATTCCCAGTGGGAGGTGATTTGTGGAAACTGTTTACACACAGATGATATCACCTGTGGACCTGGACCCGCCTCTCCTGCAAGTGAGATGTTGGTTGTTACCAACACACAGTGAGATGTGTGTTGAAGCAACAAGCCTCAGGATGTGGTGGCAGGGGAGGCGGGAATGGCGCACCGCCTGACTCACAACAGACTGGAAACCCAGCCTGAGGGTTGAGGATGACCCTTAAGCAGGAAGCTGAGGCCTGAGTTTGGGAAAGAAAGATGAGGGGCACCTGAGTCTCATACACACCCTTGTACGAGAGGCACATTGATGTTGATCAAATGGCCGACCATGGGTGGCAGTACTGCCAGGCTTGCGTATCCCTGACTTACAGCAGTCCACTGCAGGGTCGGGGGGGCTTTGATGAGAGAGATGGGGTATCCTAGGAACAGTTTTGTTATAGAAACCTAGAAAGCTACTTCGGACGGGCTCTCTGCTCGTCATTCCACAGCCTGTCCTCATGCCCAAGAGCAGGCGCACTGCATGCATGGCAGTGAGCCTTCCAGGTGGCAGCCGTCGGCCCTCAGGATGCTGAGGCTGAGCGGAATTGTGCAGCGCCACCCAGCAGACAGAATCAGGTTTCTTATTATCATTGGATGCTAGGACAGTGTTGGTAATGAGACAGTGACAGTAATAGTGAATGTATTTTACTCCTGATGGCTCTAGTTTCAGCTTAAATTATGTTATTATAGTGGTAATAGTAACAATCCATTTTTATACAGAACTCAGCAGTTAATAAGGTGTTTTCACATATTTCTTTTATAATTCTGTAAGATAAGTATTATCATCTGTGTTTAACAGATTGAGAGAGGCTCTGACAGATTAAGTGACCAACCTGAGGTTGTCCAGACAGTCTCTGATTAGGCCAGGCCTTCTAAAGCCTTCCAAGAGAGCCAAGAGCCACCTCTTCCTAATCTGTACACTGAGACAATTCAGTAATGTCACCCAGTTAATTATTTAGGGAGAATGCTGTATTCATCATCACAACCCCAGCACCTATAACAGTGCCAAGCACGCATCAGAGGTCAATGAATAAATGCGTATTTATTATTACTGCACATGTACAGTATTGTGCTAAAGAATTCTGGGAGATGCACAAAAGTACTTCTTCACCTCAAGGAATTTATAGTCTGATTTGGAAAACATGGTAAATGATCATACAAGGTAAGGATGATAACATCACATATAAGAAATAAGATCACATACAAATACATACTATGCATACAGGTACATGCAAAAATATACAAGTACAAGAAATACAAGGACATGGTACAGACAATGGCTATCAGGATTCAACTGAAATTTAGATGATTTGTTACAGGACTTCAAATGAGGGCAAGTAACTTTGGGCTGGGTTACTCAGAAGACTTCAAGGAAGGAGGGATCTAAGCTGGGTCTCAAGGGTGGAGACCCCAGAGGGGCTGAGATTCATTGTCCTGTGCACTTACTCAGTGCCATCAGGCACTGCTCCTGCTGCTCCTGCTGCTCCTGCTGCTCCTGCTGCTGAGACAGAGTGAGAAATGACACCAAGACCCTGCCTGAGTGGACCTCACCTTCGGGAGTGCGGGCAGACTGGAAAGTAAGCAAGAAAGATTGTATCACATGGTGAAAAGTGCTGTGATGACAGGAAAGAAGGTAGGGGTATTGAGGTGAAAGTGTACGGGGACTTTAGGTGAAGACCAGGGAAGTCCTCTCTGAGGAAGCATTGAGCAGAAAATGTGGGAACCACTGTGCAGAGCAGAGAAGCACATGGTTACAGGGGTCCTGCCTGGATGGAAGCTTGAGGCTGCAGATGTTTAAGACACACTCACTGTTACTTTGGGCTCATTAGAGACCTTCTCTCCTAGGGAAGTTGCTTGGTGTTCCAGCTGCTTGGAGCACAGCTTTGATAGTGAGATCAATCATATATTAAGAACTGGGCATAATTTCACTCAATCTTAACAACTCTCCCACAAGGTTGTCTTTCCCCCACATTTTTAAAAAATAAGAAACCTGAGACTTAAAGCTGTCTGGGCCCAAGTTTTCACAACTTGTAATGGGCAGAACAGGGTTTTGAACTGCATGTGTCTGATTCTAAAACTCTTGCTCTGAACCCTGAGTTATAGTATGTATTTCTGGGGAGATGGGGAAAAGTTTCAAGCTTAGACAGAGGGACAAAGAAGGAGACCCAAGGGGAGGCAGTGGTGTAGAGCAACCATCCTCAAAGGTGGAGAGATGAGGCCAGGCTATGGGTGGTTTTAAGAGCCAATCTAAGGAGCTAAAACTGTATCATATTTGTGGAGTGTGGTGGTAGAAAATGGTTTTGAAAGGAGTTCTATAGAAAGATAGAAGTTGGTCTGCATAAAACCTATGGCACTCTTTTAAATGACCCTACGGTTAATTAGGCAGCAATGATTAGGATGCTCTAGAGCAGGGGTCCCAAGACCCTGGGTCATGGGCTGGTACTGGTCCCTGGCTTGTTAGGAACTGGGTGGCACAGCAGGAGGTGAGCAGCAGGTGGGTAAGTGAAGCTTCATCCTGCTCCTCATCCCTCGCATTAATGCCACCTTCCCCCACCTTTCTGCAGAAAAATTGTCTTCCAGGAAACCGGCCCCTGGTTCCAAAAAGGTTGGGACTGCTGCTTGCTCTAGAGAAAGGAGCAAATGGAGAGAATATAGTGCATCGCTGTGAGAAAGCACAATGGTCTAGGCTTGAAATGAGACTCTAAACTCAGTGGATAAGGAAAGGAGATGACAGACATGAAAAGCATTTGTCCAGAAGGAAGAAGACTAGACAGAACTGGGTGTATTGGAACTGAGGAAGAGGAAACAACTGACTGGGTGTTTCTGAGGCTTGTGCCTGGTGACTGGGAAAGGATGGTACCATTGGCAAAGCAGAGATGTCAGACGGAAAAACTGGTGTGGACAAGAAGCGGGTAAGTTCAGCTCTGGACATGTGGAGTTGGAGGTGCTGGCAAGACACAACCATGAGATAGGGTGTGGGGCTGGAACTCAAGACCCTGATCCTTGAAAATTGGGATAAACACAGTAATAAGTCATACAGAGCCAAGAGTCAAATTTTGGGGGATGAATATTGTCTCACCAAGTCTGTGAAAGTTATTGACAGACATGGTCTGTGTTTGCTCACAGCAGTAACTTCAGTGTGAAGAACAGAGACTGGGACATTGAAGGCACTCAATAAATATGTGTTGGGTGAATGAATGAATGAATGAATGGGCAAAACAGGAAGTCAAGAGTTAAGTTGAGGAATAAATTAAGCAGTTAGGAGGAAGTTGAATTCCATGTCAAGGGGGCAAAGATGATGAAGTCAGAGAAATTACCCAATGATTTGTACTACATAAGGCTATTTTGTGGTTTCAGTTCCTAGAAATTCAGGTGGCAGAGAAACAGGATTGTGCAGAGCTGCACAACCAAGAGCTAAAGGATGTCATGCGAATCAGGCTAGTCACACAGGATCTTCCTTCCCCTTGCATGGTCCATCTTGGTTTCTTTAAACTATCTAACAGTTATAATAGGAGATTGCATCTGGCAGGATAGCAGTTTCATTTT